GTGTCAACATCGTGAAATAACTAAAAATAGGTATAAGATAGATCAATGAAATAAAAACATACATATAGATCAATGAAATAAAAACCGATTTGTTGGTATTTGAATTTAATTTTTCATCAAAGAGATTCACGCGCATTGTGTTTTTCAATTTCATCATGCGATATGATATATATATGTGCTTCTTTTGTAGTTGGCGGTCGACCTTGAAATTTGACTTGTTGCATTTTTATTTATTATATCATCATAAGTTTGCATTAATTAAAAAATCAATACTGGAAACACATTTAATAAGTTGGAACTGAGGAGTGCCGATGCAATATATAATGCCAACTGGAACCAAGTTAAATTTGCAAACATCACGTTACATAATGGCCTCAACATCTTACATGCCACATTACTGTTGATCCTTGATGGACAAATAATTTAAATAATTCCAAAAGCAAAACGATTAGTTAATATTTTGGTGAACATTTTGGAGAATATTTAAGTAGGTACATAAAAAATTATTTATATAATACTAATGATCAACCGCTGTCCTTGAATTAACGAATTGGGTTGGCAGCAATGCCAATTCAGGGAACGTTTAGCAGCTGACGTCACAGAAGGTAAAAGTAATTGGCAAAAGCCGGGCGAACTATAATTTGCGTTTCTTTGCCAATTGACCGTCTAAAACAGCAAACGATAACTTGAATAAAACTTAAAATATCATGACACACAGTTAATATTAAATAATAAAGCTATACTTTAATGTAAAGATGCAACGAAATAGATACAATTAATTTTCGTTAGTCCAGCAACCGAACATTTTATACTCTTGCAACTTGCAAGGGTTAAAGCTGGGGAAATACCTTCAGATGTTGGCAAAAACTAAGAATAAACAAGTAAGGAAGGGCTAATTATACTCGAGTATTATATACTCCTGCAAGTTGCACGGGTCAAGGCCGGTGAAATACCTTCAGATGTTGACAAAACTCCATATTAAAAAATGTTGCGAAAAAATTCAACATTCAATATTCGACAAAATCTTGAACCTATTACAATCAAATTTGGTATTTTATTAAAAATAGGTCATCGATTCAATTAGTTTTATAACTATATTTTACTTTCCGTCAGCGCAAATTATATTAAAATCACCCTTAAATGAGATGTATCATGGTCAGATTAGCAGTCGGTCTAGACCATCCAACTGCAGGTTTGTAAGAATGACGAAAATTATTAAATGTAGTATAATTCCACATATTTTCGGCAGTATACTAAAGTATATCCAATATTATACGTTCAGTTAATTTTGCTAAGATATCTTACGTATTGACTGATATATACGGTTTAAGGCCATCCGGAAGTTTGACAATATTTAATTAGGAATATAGGAGATTGGTGTAGTATTGAACCGATTTTCCCTATTTTTGGCGTTACTGCATATTATTAACAGAAACAAATGCTCTCTGAGCTTCACTAAGGTACCTCACATACCATCAACATCAACACCCCATTTTATCTATTTTAGGCACACAGATGCACCGTTAAGAGAAAAACACGCCCAGTAAATTTAATTAAAATAACGCACATATTGGCCGATATACGAGGTGTGGAAATTAAATAACGAGACTGCGCGCGGAGACAGCCTCCAGGAGAGGGTAGACGGGAACCTAATGCACCATTGTACAGGTGACATTAACGGCATTGTGATGACTGAATGGGTTCCAGAGGGGCAGACGGTGAACCAACAATACTATTTGACAGTTCTGGCAACACTGCGCGAACGAGTTCATAAGAAACGGCCGGCGTTGTGGAAAAACAAGTCGTGGATTTTGCACCAGGACAACGCACCTGCGCACAACGCACTTTCTGTTAAACGTTATTTGGCCGCTAGGGGTACTCCAGTGCTGGAACACCCTCCTTACTCCCCTGATCTAGCACCCTGTGACTTCTACCTATTTTCGAAAGTCAAGTCCGCACTAAAGGGAAGCCGATTCGAGTCGATTGAAGAGGTGAAAAGGAAAACGGCGGAGCTTCTGAAAGGCCTAACAAAAAACAACTTCGAAAACTGCTTTGAGCTACGGGAAAAAATAGATGGAGCGGTGTGTGGCGAGGGGAGGGGAGTATATTGAGGGAGAAAGTTCGATTGAACCATAGTTTTTTTAATTAAACCATTTTTTGTAAGCAGTATCGTTATTTAATAGCCTCGTATATGCATACAAGTATATACCCCATATATAAAGTCAGCCGGAAGCTCAAAAATCTTTCTATAAGGTAAATGTGGGCTAAGGGAAATATTGACCCAATTCAAACCATTTTTGACATACAGGCATACTATTATCAGGAATATCATAGGCTCTGGGGCTCACATATCCGGTATCTGGGGTTGGAATAGTTTTCGGCCGATTTTGGTACCTAAGATGGCATACCTCAAAGGCACTAATCGTGCAAAGTTTTATCCAGTGATTTTAATTGGAGTATTTTCGCACTGTAATATGGGAATGTCAAAATAATCTTATGTAAAAAATTTGGTTGAAATTGGTTTAGTTGGTCAAAAGATATGTGATTTCACTATAATGTGGACGTTGCCATGCCCATTATCCATTTTTGACACCTGCTCCTATAAAACCCTTTCGTTCTATCGTAGATGTAAAACTTAATATCTCTGACGTATTTAGTTATTGATTTATCGCACTTTTAGTAGTTTTTAACAAAACTGTTAAATGGGGAGTGGGCGTGGTTATCTTCCAATTTCACTTATTTTCATGCTGTCGCAAGAAGTGTCAAAATGATTTGTTCTGGGCAATTTACAGTTTTTTGATTAATGGCGTTTTGTAGACATGGCAGCGGTCGATTACGCTCATCCCCTCCTTTTGTTTGCCAAGAAACATGTGCACCAAGTTTCAGAACAAAAGCTAAATTTTTACTCAAGTTATCGCTTGCACGGACGGACGGATAGACAGACATACGGATTTCAACTTGTCCCGTTATCCTGATCATTTATTTATATATAACCTCGATTAGGTTTAGGTGATACAAACAATAGTAAGGAGAACAAAACTATTATACTCTGTAGCAACATGTTGCAAGATATATGTAAATCCAATTTTGACAATGAAGTGCATATGTATGTACTATGTACGAATATAACTAGTAGATATTGAAGTGAACATTTATCTATGCAGAGTATGTACGTAAATACGCTTTAAAAACAGTAAAACATCATATAACTAATTCCATAGCATTAAAGCTAATGTTTAAGGTCTTCAAAGCTCCAAAAAATGTGTTTTGAAATTTTGCAATAAAAATTTCAGACAATATCACCAGTTAACATATTTTTGTCTGCAAAACCAGTAGCTAAACCATTAATTCATCACTGAGTACTTCTTAGAAGCAGATCTGGCTAATAGCAGCACTGTAGTGAGTGCTGATTTTTTTCTGTTTTGCATTAACACTTCCCTGACACACTTTATGTTACCATGAAAATAGCATATCAGACAGTGGCAAAGAAGCAACCTACCTACATACATATGTGAATATGGGTATAACATAACAATTATGAAATAGTTTAACACCGCTTCGCTGCCTTTATGAATTGTTTGTGGTGGTGGTCGGCTTTTGAAAATTCGCAACGATATTTGTGCACGTGTGAGTGCTTTGGAGCTGTTTAGTTTTGTGGCTCATGTTTGGCTGCCCATTGAATGCTATAACTACCTATCTTATTGCCCAAAATATGCATATTGATCCAAACACCATACCTTTATTTTAATGTTTACATGCAAATTAAAGTATGTCAAAATCATTAAAATCTAACTGATATTTTGTGAACAAGATAAATTTGGTTTTGAGAAAAAATTTTGAAACATTTTACTTGTTTCGGACGAAGAACGAAACCTAAATTATATGGTAAGTCAAGAAGTAAATTGGTATTATTTCCTACGGTTTATTATCGGTGTATTTTTTCGCACATATGTACATAATATATAATAGTGAAAGCTTGTGTAACTGATTCCGCATATAAAACTGTTATGGTCCGTATGTAAAGCCAAATCGATAAGTGATTTTTAACTCAGTTTTCAATCTGCATTCTATCCTTAAGAGACAGAAGGCGTCTAGTCCGAAGGTTCCCAATTTGGAATCACAGAATTCTTGAACCATTTCTTGTTTTCATATGTAAATGTCGTGGGTAGGTAAAGTAAATAGGGGATTCGAAGAACTATTTATTTAAAAAAAATTAATAATCAACAAGTTGTAAAAAAGTGTAATGGGGCTTAAGCCCAATTATTACAGAAGCTCTGAAGAAAAAAATTATTTGCTCTCAAAGAAAAAGGAGTGGCTGGGAAATAAATTATTATGATACTCCGAGTAATGCAACTTAGTCGGCTACGTTGTAGAAGATAGTATTGCAAAGCAGCGAGTAGTAACTCAGCAAACAATTTTCCAAAAACCGGTTCATAACTTTTTTATTTTTAATATCTGTTTTTTTACAAATAATTTGAAACGATAACAATGTTTGATAGCACCACAAATAGTTTTATAAACTAACGAACATGTTGAAAATCATCAAATACGGTGAGGGTATGCGGTGCGTTAAATGCGGGCAGAGATCACAAATCTAAACATATGTTTGCAAATGTTGATGTCCAATGTTAGCACGACTTTGCGACGTCGCATCGCCCGTATTGTTTCAAAGTCAAATTCGTTGGATATTGCTCACAGTATCGTGTTGGTGTTTCCTGACCCCCTCCAGGTGGCAGGGTTTGAATCATGATACATTTAAAAAAATTAGTGGAGATTGACATTTCACATTAAGAGTCTAGAGACTAACATTTTGAAATGTAATTAAATCATAGGTCAAATACAAAATTGTTTCAAATTGCCAATACTGAATAACGTCTCCATTGAAACACTGGCGTTACTAGTTATGAAGTAAACTTAGAATGTAAATATGCTATATGCTCCAAAAAAAATTTTTTAACCAGTTTACTCATTTTTGTACTATTTCCTTCAATTCTTTTTAGCCGAAATTGATACGCAAGTACGGTTACCCATCGGAGACACATACAGTGGTCACAAAGGATGGCTATATTCTGGAGATGCATCGCATACCAAAACGTGGCGCCCAGCCAGTGCTTCTCATGCATGGCATATTGGACACATCGGCCACATGGGTGCTGATGGGACCGAAGTCGGGGTTGGGTGAGTTCCTGCAGCGCAAATGCATTTTTTGCACTCTCCAACTATTATTATTTTTTGTATACTTTACTTCTTTTTCGACCTCTCTGCGTTCTACACTTATTGTACTCTTGCCATGGTAGTTCACTCATTTTCTATGCATTCACTTCGTTTGAGCAACTTTGTCACAATTGTCTCATGTATATATCTTTTCAATGGGGGGTTTTTATTTAACTTTCTGTGTTTGCATGTTTTTCCAAGTATCTTATCTACATACTTATGTTTTTGTATGTTTTGCCCATCTCATTGAACTGTGCTGTTTGCATATAGGTTACATGCTATCAGATCTCGGTTACGACATCTGGATGGGCAATGCGCGTGGCAATCGCTATTCGAAGAATCACACCAGCCTCAATAGCGATTACCAGGAATTCTGGGATTTCACCTTTCACGAAATGGGAAAATTTGATTTACCTGCAAACATTGATTATATCCTCAGCAAAACCGGTTACGAACAGCTGCACTACATAGGTCACTCACAGGTGAATTGACATCGATATACTTTGCATATTTTTTCGCATTCAATGGTTTTAGTTTTTTTTAATCATTTTATTTCTTTTCCACAGGGCACTGCAGTCTTTTGGGTTTTGTGTTCTGAGCAGCCCTCGTATACACAAAAAATTTTATCGATGCACGCTCTGGCTCCCATAGCGTTCATTTCTGACATGAAGAGTCCGCTTTTTCGAACATTGGTTGTGTTTTTAGATTTTTTAACGGTATGTTGCCCTGAAATTTTTTCGCAAACCATCTGTAACATTTTAATGTATACTTCCAGGCGGCAACACGCATGCTACGCATTACTGAATTTATGCCCAACACAAAGTTGTTTGTAGATCATACCCAAGTGGTATGCCATGACAACGCAATGACACAGGATGTCTGTTCAAATATCTTGTTCCTGGTGGCCGGCTACAATTCGGAGCAATTGAATAAGGTAAGTACATACATACGTTTGGTTATGAAATATGAAGCTGAATTTAGGTACCTAAAATTAGTATTCGCCACTCTTAGAACGTGGGAATAGCCACTAAGTTTAGAGAAATATTATACTTCGATAATCTAGTGTTATTCTTTGAAATCCATATAAAGTAATTACACCTTGAAGTATTAGGTGTAGCGTGAACGGAAGCTCTTATTTCTAAGGCAAAATATAATATTTGATTCGGCGTATTTAAGCTGGTGATATGAGCTATTTTGGTATAAATTCATATATGTATGTACTTGTATTGATGCAAACGTAAGAAATAACCATTGCACAAAGCTGTAATACTTCCTGCCATATGTTGAATACCAAAACATTTCCAGAGATATCTCCATATCAATATATCTCCATATCAATATGGATTTATAAAAGTTTGTATGCCTAAAAAAGATTACCAACTCAACATCCCAAAACTAGCACTTATACTTCTGCGATTACTCTTGAACCTATTTCTTATGAAGAGTTTTAAAGATCTAGAATTCTAAACGAATGCAATAGGTCAAAGTCATCCGTTAAAAGTAGAATATTATTTGGATAAATAAGTTAAATTTGTCACTTAAAATACTTCCTTGTGTACGAATACTTTTTTGAGAAAAACTTTTTATTTGTTTTTTCGATATTGTTAATCGCTGCAATAATAATCCCCTCAAATAAAAAGAGAATACATCTAGATTACATTACATTACATTTCTAGATTACATCCCTAAGAAACTTGTTTGAGACAAATTCATTAAGGCAGCAATAACTGTAATAATTTCGTAATCGAAAAAGGAAAAATGTATGTATATAAAATATTACTTTCAGAATAAAAATCATTAGAAGTTAAAAAATTGTTCCAAAATGCAAAAAAAGTTTGTTTTGTATACAGACGCATCGTTTGCCATGCGCATCATCTTGCAATTTGAGCCGAGTTCATTAGCTACACCACCCACTTGTTCATTTTGTAAATTAGTACTTAACAGTATTGCCACTTGGGGAAACCTTTGGGTACCAAAATGCTACCAAATCTGTTGCAAAACTACCAAATTTTCGTATCCTAAAAACATTGGGTCTTATTTCACTTTACATTTAGAAAAATATTTACATACATATAAACCTTAGAGGTCAATTGAATTTAGGATGTCTCCGAAAGTAAGCAGCTATCTCGTCGATTTTTCTCGCTTCTTCTCTGCAAGGAGTCTAACACATACAAAGCAATCGGCCGGCAGGTCATCAACTACGTTGCATCGATATGGTCGTCTGGTATGTTGTGAAACGCACAGACAAAGAAGATTCGGACGTATCAGAATGCTGATGTCTCCTGTCGAACACCTACATTTTGAGGCCTGCATGCTTCCGGTCCTCTCCAAGCAGTTTCTGCAGGGATGATTTTCCAGAAACCGTAGTTGGAGTCAAATCATCATTTATAGCAGACCTCGAGTTGCTCCGAGAATCTAGAGTGACCCTTGCGCCACTTCGTTCTGAATACTGTAGCAGGTTAAACTTCTACTTATCCAGAATCGACTCCGACTTACCTAATATATGTCCTGCGTGCAATGAGACACCGCATGACTCTAACCACCTTTTTGCATGCCCACTGAATCCCACTCATCTAACCCCCATCTCCCTATAGTCCGACCCCGTTGAAACAGCACTTGTATTGGGCTTACCGTTTGATAATTTTGATGGCAACCAACTTGAACCTTACCACCTAAGGGGATTAATTGGCATGTCGCAAAAGCTTAAGTTTTCATTTACCTGACGTTGATATCATTTTGTTCGTTTACTGCAGAAGTTTTTGGTAGTTTATTGTTATACATAAAAAAACAGTTAATTAATTATAATATAATATTACTTGTTCATAAGCTCCTATAAGCTCAATATAGTGAATTCTTGAAACTCTTCACCTCTGTTTTACACTTTCAATTCAGGTTCCCATTCATTCCTATTTTTTAGTTACAAGGAGTATGAATAGCAAAGAAGAAAGGATGCAATTTTAAGCGAAAAAATCTTAAGGCAGAGCATTTTATACTCTCGCAACTTGCACGGACCAAAGCCGGGAAATTACTTCAGGTGTTGGCAAAATTTTATATTAAAGGAAATATTGGTCTGATTCAACCCATTTTTGACACAAAACATACTATTATCGGTTCCTATAAAGTCATCTCATACAATCCCAGTGATAAAATTTAATGTGCCTGGCGTATTTAGTGCTTGATTTATCGCGCTTTTAGTAGTTTTTAACAGTACCGTTATATGGGGAGTGAGCTGGGTTGTCACCCGATTTCACCTATTTTCACACTGTCGACATAGGGGCTAAAAACAATTGTTCTCGGTGATTTCTGTTATTATAGCATATATATATGCACATTAAATCTATTGTAGGGGGCGGGACCACGCCCACTTAAAAAAAATTTTATTGTAGATGCCCCTCCCTAATGTGATTCTGTATACCAAATAACAGTCTTGTATCTTATTGTGGAGCTTAGTTATGGAAATTTATTTGTTTTTGATTAATCTCTCTCTTTTAAACTATAACCGAGAGTAACATTATGAGAATCTTATGTATTTTTAGCATTTTAAAAGAAAATTTATCAATAAATCAATTTTGATGTTATCGATCTCAAAAAATTAGAATATCTCACTTTTGATCAGCGAAAATAAACTTGTACACTTACGTTGACAACACTTTAAATGCAATTATCAAGTAGGTACCGTGCCGTTTTGTCTGGTATTATTTGAGTGAGGTCAAAATGTACTATTTGGTAAATGAATTTAATTTGTGCGATTGTTGGTTTTGAAGAATAAATGGAGAATAAACAAACATCTAAAGATTTACAGTCAAATATTGGCAAAGAAACAACATTACTAGCGAAATAGGCAATATTTTCAAAATACACACATGCTATTGTTCAGTACATTATTGCTAAATTCAAAAAGACTGCTGGAGTTGGAATACTAGATGATAATGGAACGCCTACAAAAACGCCTCAAGCTGAAAGTAAAGTTGCTCAGAGTTTCAAGGTCGTCGATTTGTATGGCTTAAGAAAGGCTAAGCGCTAAACTATTAAACATTTAATAAGACTGTCAGCATGGAGGAGGCTGTTTTTATCGAAGGAATTATGTAACGAACTACTAGGCAATATTAAAAAATAATTTGGCTCCGTCAGCTGCTAAACTCCATTTAAATGGTAGCTACTGTTTTATTCAGGATAACGACCTGATGGGCCGATCGGACCAAAATTGCAACGAAAACCAAATTTTCCGCCTGCTTTGTTCTTCCAACGCGACGAATTCCCTATCTAATTTCAATATGTCAGATACCAAACAATACGGTGTTTGAGGAGGGTCTACATTATTTCAAACGGCATATAAACAAAACCGTTGAGCTACACATATGCTTACAATTTTACCGTTAACATATTCATACATTTTCACACAATATTCAAGCATATCGTATTCAATTTTAGTTAAGTATATGAAGTAATAAATTTAGTAATCGGTTATACTCGTCAAGATAAAGTTCAAATAGTACAAATTTAATATAAGGCATGTCCATTCTAAGCATATTTTAAAACTCTAAACAGGGTACACTAAGCTTACCACGAATTTTGTAACACCCAGAAGGAAACGTTGGAGACCCTATTAGATATGTATAATTGATCAACGTGACGCGCTAAGTCGATTTAGCCACATCCGTATGAACGTCTGTCGGCCAGTCTGTATATACGCGAACTAGTCCCTTATAGCACAAACAGTCACCGACATTCCTTCCTTCCCTACTTACCGCCCGTATCAAACCAAATTTGTCAAAAGTTATACCTGTAGTTGCAACGCAGAAATCAGTTGTTCCCTTTTGTTTGCAATTCACCAATGTTGCCATTGTTCTATTTGTATACACGATATTTCACACATTTAGTTTTTTATACTCTCGCAACTTGTTGCTACAGAGTATAATAGTTTTGTTCACCTAACGGTTGTTTGTATCACCTAAAACTAATCGAGTTAGATATAGGGTTATATATTATATGTATAAATGATCAGGATGAAGAGACGAGTTGAAATCCGGGTGATTGTCTGTCCGTCCGTTTGTGCAAGCTGTAACTTGAGTAAAAATTGAGATATCTTTATGAAACTTGGTACACATGTTTTTTGGTACCGTTAGACGGTTGGTATTGCAGATGGGCGTAATCGGAACACTGCCATGCTCACAAAACGCCATTAATCAAAACAAATAAATTGCCATAACTAGCTCCACAACAAGATACAAGACTGTTATTTGGTATACAGGATCACATAAGGGAGGGGCATCTGCAGTTAAATTTTTTTTAAAGTGGGCGTGGTCCCGCCCCCAATAAGTTTAATGTGCATATCTCCTATACCACTGAAGTTATAATAACAAAATTCATTGGGAACAAATGTTTTTAGCACCTCTATGGATAGTGTGAAAATGGGTGAAATCGGGTGACAACCCAGCCTACTCCCTATATAACGCGATAAATCAAGCACTAAACAAGAGCACAGATACATTAAATTTTGTCTCTGGGATAGTATGAGATGACTTTGTAGGAACCGCGTTCAAAATTAGACAGTGGGCGTGGCACAGACCACTTTTAGGTTAAAACCCATATCTTGAGATGTTTTTAACCGATTTCAACCAAATTCGGTGCATAACGTTCTTTATTTTTATATTTTTATGTCATAGTGCGAAAATGGGCGAAATCGAAATCAAAAATTATCTAAATCGAACCAAAACTATTCAAGTCCCTAGGTACTAAATATGTGGACACCAGTACCTACAGTTGACTTTTTACCGTAAATATCGGCCATTGTGTAAGATATATAATTGAAATTCATATAATTGAATAAATAAATGAAACTATCGATAATAGTATGTCTTTGTTTCAAAAATGGGTTGAATCGGATCAATAGTTCTTGTAGCTCTCATATATCTAATATAAATATTTTTGAAC